GGGGCGTTTCTGACAGGACAGGCCAATCAGAAGGAAGGGGCGTTTCTGACAGGACAGGCCAATCAGAAGGAAGGGGCGTTTCCCTCCAAGGAACCATCAGGTGCCTGCGCTGCCTGGGAGGCCGTTGTGCCTCTCCTTCCCCGGGACAGTACCGCCTGAAGTTAGGGGTGGGAGGGAGTTGGTCCTTGTGACACCATCATTTTGTAAAACAAAATTAACAAAAGAAATGGGTTTAAAGTATTCACACCCCAGAAGTCCTCCGGAGCCTTCTAAGACCCTAGGTTTGTATCAGGGTGTGGGGACTGGGTCAGGAGCCAGGCTCCAGTGCTGTCACCCCAGTCACAACCATGCTAGAAGACCAGGAAAAAAGAGAATGTCCAAGGAGGTCAACATGAAGAAGGGGAAAGTAGTGAGGAAGGAAATGGGCTTCCCTTACAAGACGAGCTCACAGTGGAAGAGGAAGTTCCCGTGGTCCATGTGCTGCCCACTCCCACGGGGATTATGGGTCAAAGGTGAGGCTGTTGGTGGCCTGTGTGGGTCCTTGAGGTCTCCCGGTCTCCAGCACGCAGTGGGTGGATGCCTTCTTCATCAGATTCACTGCCTCACTCATGACCCTCCATGCCAATATTCCAACAAGGGTCCGGCATTCTCCTTGTGGTCCTGCCGCACTGGCTGCACCTGTTTAAATAGAGCAATGTGCTCTGCTTAATTCAGGGGTTTTCTAACTCATCAGGAAAAAAATACAGAGGGAGTCATCTGAGATCAGGATGCTTCAACGACAGCAGTCATATTGAAATTAGATTACTGGGAGAGATGGGAAAACTACTGTCCAATATTTTTGTTTGATAACTGACATATAAACATGAAGAATTATATCAACAAAAAATTTTGAGTTACACAGATTCTTTTTAATTTTTTATGTTTGTAATTTTTCATAAGAAGCTAGGTGAATGAATTATATCTAGTCCCGACCCTTGAAAAGCAATCTATTGGAAGTATGATTTGCAGTCCTATAAATTAAGCACATAGATTATGGCCCGTAATTATTTACTCTGGAACAAGACCACTTAGCACCAAATGACAGAAACCTGTTAGCATGCTCCCTTCTAAAGCTGCAGCGAATTATTCTACCATTTCTGCTGCTTTTGTTCACATCAACAGCTCACTTCCAAGCCCTGCTGTGAGGTAGAAATTCACAAGGAAGCTACAGGCTATAATGCTAATGAACCACTCTGTAGGGTCCAAAAGCAGACCAAAAATCTCTTTTGTAACCTTTGAGTCAGGTTGTTAGGAGGTTCTCCTCATGAGTGGCTTTGATGAAAGCTATGCTCGTGAGCGCTCGTTGTGTAGTCTTTCACGAGGACTGTATCTTTTCTCCATTGTTTCATAAGTTCATATTCTATCAATATCACAGGAAAAAGAAGACCCAGGTGTCCAGCGCTCACCTTTGAGGGCCCTGCAAAGCCTGCAGGAAGGAGCTGTCAGAAGACCACCCTCCTGGAGACTCGGAGCCTCTAGAGATGCACCTGCGTGTTCAGCTCCCTGGTGCGGCACGATCCGGTGTACTGGGTGCCATATGAATATGTTCAAACTATCCAAAGTATTTTTATATGATGTTGGATGAGTTAGGGTTTATCATGCTTTCAAAGTTTCTGGAAACATGTACTATGTGGCCCATTTAGCCAAGAGCTGCTAGGTACACAGTACTTTTTGTTTTTTATTTTTTCCTGATGTTGGAGCAGCGGTCCCTGACTCTTACTGTTGAAGAGAAACAAGAGAAGCCTCTACCACCGATTCTTATAATAGCTCCATCAAAAATTCAGGATGAGCTGGACATGAAGGTACTTGTCTGCAATCCCAACAACTTGGGAGGCTGAGGCAGGAGGATCACACATTCAAGGGCAGCCTCAGCAACTTAGTGAGATTCTGTCTCCAAATAAAATTAGAAAATAGGGCTGGGGACATAGCTCAGAGGTAAAGCACCCCTGGGTTAAATCCCTAGTACCACACACCAAATGCAGTCTGTGCAAACCAAGGATCTAGGAAAGTTGTACAGAAATGTGTTCGTGAAATCCCACGAAGGGATGTAGCACCAAACTGAGTGTTCTGAGAGCAGGGAGGAGGAGGATGTGGGGATCCTCTCAACGAAGAGACTAGACTGAGGACTCGGGCCACACGGGGCCCAGCCTACGCCGTCTCTGTTCGCTGACGTTCCAGAAGCCATCCCAGCATGGACAGGTCAGCCGTCCCTCCTGTCCACCTCCTCTGCAGCATCTAAGGTTCCAGGCACAGTTAGGCCTCATTCCATAATAAGAACAGATCCTCTGGACAATTTGGGGTTTGGCTCTATTAGTTATAAAATCAGGTTTGGGTCCTGAGATCACTCAGGATATCTTTGGTCCTCCTTTAGTGGAACCTGGAGCCACAGATTTGTTCTTTATTCAACAAAACCCGTGGGTTATGAGTCCCGGGGTCTTAGGGTTCTAAAAGTGAGGAGATACGTATGTTGCACCTGTGGGTTCACTTGTGACGGTGCCTGTGGTAGAGGGCGGAACCCACAGACAGTCCTCCTTTCACCTTGGCACTCTGGGCTTGTCCCGGGGAAGGCTTACGTTTTCATTAAAGGAAAGGTCATGCTAAAAAGAATTAGCAGCAGCTTTTTATAAATGACTTTATACTTATTAATAAGGGATTTGAACTTTCTTTTCTGTTATCCAGACTTTTGAAACCAGGAACTTAAAAAAGAAATATAGTGTTCTGCTTTGTGTGCTCCATCTGTTATACTTTCGGAGTCAATATCTATCATATGCCAGATTTCTTTCAGGAGAAACTTTGTGTGCACGGGTAAAGTGGGTACCAAAGGGAAACCTTGCCAATGAAGAAGAACATTTCTCTGTGTGGACATACACACGTGTGATAGCACGTAAGATGTGTGTGCTAATTCCAGAATAAACTCCTTAATCCTTAAAGCACAATCAGAATTGAATACGAACGCTCACACTCAACCATGATGTCACCACAGCCTTATGAGAACGTGATAATGCATTCACCCCGCGCTCATGGACATTTGTGCTTTTAATTTTTTTTTTGGCACCTCTTTGCTGTAAGATGGCTGTTGCTTTTTGATACCATCACCACCTAGTTGTATCTGGAGGTGATATTTTTGTTTGGCAACAATAAAAAATTTTAAATTGTTTCAAGAATCCATCCTTTCTCTTCCTTTGGAACACGTGTCGCTGTAAAACACTGAAAACATAAAAAGCACATGCCAACCCGTGCTAATCAGTGATGGAAAACAAGCAGCCCGCCTTCAACACGGGTTTCTTGTTCCTTTATAAGATCTTGACACCATCCCTACAATTAGATGTGACCCAGAGAAACATGCAGACTCTTGGCTGGTCTTGTATTACTCTCCCATTGCCCAGATCACACCATGATACATAGCTCTCTGCATCCCCTGGGCTGGGCCAGAGTCGAGTCATCAATAACAAATTTCATTGCTGGGAATAGAACCTGTTCTCCTGATTCCCCATACAGGGGGCAGCTGTGAGAACATTCAGCCCAATGCCGGAGGAGAGACATTAAAGATAGCATCAGACCAGTGTTAGTGGATGGGGTCAGTGTGTGAGGGACTTCCTCAGACTTCTCGGCTCCCTTCTCTGCGATCCTACAGGCCTCTTACTCCTGTAAGCAATGGTTCCTTATGAAAACACGCTAACTCACTGTATTTGTTCATTTGAAATTGGTAAGAAGAATGTAGAACATGAAAATATCGAAACTCAAAAAAAGAAAATATCGAAAATCTCCACCCCACCTCCGAAAAAAAACAACTCAAAACAAAGTAAGTACAGAGTTTATTTTCAACAAATGGCATAGCTGTGTTGCCTTATTATTACAGAATCCAATAGGTCCATGAAAAATTTATTTAGTACAAAAGGGGCTGAGGGTCGGCAGCAGCTGTGTACAGCATCTCGGTTTGATTACTGTCGATTATTTCTGAGCACTCTGAATTCCTCACCCATGTTCCAGCTTCTAGGTAAGTGGATGCTTCTCTCTATCTCCCATTCAGTTATTCCTCATTATTCCTTCAATCCAATTCACGAACCTTGAGACTCGGACGTAGACGCCTGGCTTATTGGGACGAGCGCACCCAAGGCCCCAAGAAGTGACTCCTTGCAAAATGTATTTGTCCTTCTCGAAGCAAACCAGAGGCCCTCCACTGTCCCCCTAGATGGAGGGAGGGAAAAATCCATATGAAGATTAAACTTCCCTTCTTTGATTATGGGATGCCACCTTCTGTCATCAGTATGTAAGTTTCCCCAGGATTTGAAGTCAGGAAGAAACTTATTGACATATCCTTTGAACATCCGAAGCATTTAAGTACTTAACGAATCCTGTTCAGCAAAACCACCCTGTTCCATTTTCCCTGGGAAATGATCCCTGTGGATGCTGCTGCCTGGAGGCTTCTTGAGGCCCAGCCAGCCTGAGCACAGTGGTCAAGTGGTACAACTGGTCTCTGGCCTGGACCCTCCCCCCCTTCCCTCCCCCAGACCCCGTCCACCAGCCCAGCTCAGGGAGGCCTGTGGCCTGTGGCAGCTGCGGTACTGAACACACACCCTGACTGTCCTTCTGGAACTCGAGGCCTGAGAAATTATCCCAGATGTTCTACCTACATCCAGGGTCTGAGCAGAGGGTTTCTCGACAACATGGAGACTGGCACTTGGGTTGCGATTCCTTCTTGACTTTGCCACTTTGTGACTGCAATGTCTAAGGGGCTGAGACAGGCCAGCCCAAGACCAGCTTGGGTCTCTGTAACCCTTTCTTACCTGGCAGCTGTCTGTGCCGCCGTCCAAATGCCCAGCACACAGCTCTGTTGGTTTGACTCTGCCGTTCAGATACTCATAGCGATTGCACACCTTATTCTCGATCACAGGCAGATGGGCCTCCTTGAGAAAACCAGCACCAGAGGTCCCTGTGTTTAAAGAGTAGAGAAACCGTTACTGGACCCAGCACATGCTCAGGAGGAGACTTCAGAACGTCAGAGCAGCTGCGAAGAGTCTCTTGTCTGTGTGGCTGTGTGCTGTGAGTATTCATATTATAATATTATTAAAATATTATAACTTTAAAAACTGATAGCTAATATAATAGGTGGCAGTTGTCCTGATTCACTTTCTAATCCACATTTCTTTAACAGTTAGGGAGAGGGAACATTCTCCTATACATTTGTTTTACTAGTTGCATTTCTTCTTTTGGTGAAAACTGATATTTTTCTTTGCCAAATTGAATAGAGCATTTGCAGAATTGCCAAAGGAAATAAATACTGCTTTCCCAGATGGACCCACCCAGGGACATCTCAGTGTTTTCACAGATAATACAGTTTCCAATTTTGCAAGCCCAGCTTTCGCCGAAGTTTTGCAACATATCTTTGCTTTGCTGGCACGGGACAGCCCAGAAATGACGTACTATCTCTTCCCCAAAGACTGTGACTGAACTTAGATGGTCGATGTGGGTTCAGTGAGTCTGGAGATCACAGGAGCCCTCAAGAGGCCTGTCCCAGGGTCCGGCTGGAAAGCCCAGCCCAGCCTTGGCTGGCAGAGCTGCCTTGGAGGAGGGGCCTGCCTAGGAAGAAAGCTGTGGGCAGGGAGCAGGGCTGGAACTGAGTAGCTCAGTGCAGACCTCCTTCTCAAACCATTTGGCCAAAGGTTAAGCTATCCAAGGGTCACTGCTGTCCCATCTGCCTTCTGAGCAAGACAGATGTCCTAAAGCCAGTGAACGGTCCTTGGCAGTGTGACTGGAGGTTGATGGGTCTGTGAGGAAGCGCTGCCTCCCTGTGGCCAAAGTGGAGAAGGCACTTCCGGGGGCTGGGAAGCCGTGGGTAATGGGGGACAGAAACCCTTGTGGATCTGTGGGGAGGGGGCAAGGAGGAAAGCCAGCCGAGATCCCTGAAGGCACCCCGGATGGCAGGTTGGAGGTTGGCCTGGGAGAGCCGCTTGGCCTCAAGGCTTGCTTTGCTTTGGAATATTGAAGCCAGAGAAAGTCTGGAGATGTGAGAGGAGAGGAGCATTTTGATCTCACACTGAGAACATGAGTTAATCTGAAGTATCTGGGCTTAAGTTTTGTCATGGGACGACTCCTGGGGAGTGACTTCTGAGATTCATATTCTCAATAGATGTGTGTCAGGACCAGGAGAGACAGGAAGCCCAGTGCAGGGTGGCAGTCAGAAGTATGTGGATGGAGAAGGGGGGCAGAAGAAATGATGAATGGACTTGGGAGTCAGGCAGACTGGTCTCTCTCAGGGCTCAACCACCCACAGCTTATGTGATGTCCATTGGTAGTGATGATGGTGGCAGTGATGCTGTTGGTGGTGATGGTGATGGTGATGGCAATGGTGATGGTGATGGTGATAGTAATGATGGTAGTGATGATGATGGTGATAATGATGCTGATGGTGATGGTGATGGTGATGGTGATGGCAATGGTGATGGTGATGATGGTGATGGTGGTGATGGTGATAGTAATGATGGTGGTGATGATGATGGTGATGGTGGTGATGGTGGTGATGATGATGGTGATAATGATGGTGATGGTGATGATGATGGTGATGGTGGTGATGATGATGGTGATGGTGATAGTAATGATGGTGGTGATGATGATGGTGATAATGATGCTGATGGTGATGGTGATGGCAATGGTGATGGTGATGATGGTGATGGTGGTGATGATGATGGTGATAATGATGTTGATGGTGCTGTTGATGGCAGTGATGATGATGGTGATGGTGATAGTAATGATGGTGGTGATGCTGATGGTGATGGTGATAGTAATGATGGTGGTGATGCTGATGGTGATGGTGATGGCAATGGTGATGGTGGTGATGATGATGGTGGTGATGATGATGGTGATAATGATGCTGATGGTGATGGTGATGGTGATGACAATGGTGATGGTGATGATGGTGATGATGATGGTGATGGTGATGATGATGTAATGGTGATGGTGGTGTTGATGATGATGATGGCAGTGATGGTGATAATGATGGTGGTGGTAGTGGTTGCTGAGGTTGATGCTGATTGTGGTGCTAATGGTGATGGTGCATAATCTTAGTACTCAGGATAAACTTACAGGGTAGTACAGATCATGAAACTGAGGCCTAAAGATGTCAAATAACTGCCTGACGTCACATGGAAGATGGTGGAGCCAGCTCACTCCCAGATCCTCATGAGTTTTAGGTTTGTATTGAATCAATCAAGATGTTGTAGGGGGTATGTGTTGGTTTTCTGGCTTCGGATCAGCTTTGCAGCCTACATTCCTTAATGCTGTTGAGGGATCTACCTTTTGCCCCTGCCGGTCACAAGTGGGTCCTGCCTTCAGCTCCAGGCTGGACAGTCCTGGACAATCCTGGACAGAAGTGGGCACAGAAATCAAGCCTGAGCTTTCAAAGCTGGGCAGACTGTTGCTTGAGCTGTAGGGAAAGTGGCCTCCCTTCCTCCCTGGCAGAGCCAGAGGCAGCACAGTATCCATAGCACAAGGGAGTCACCTGTGTGCCCAGAATGGCACCTGGAAGGAAAGGGCCAGAGGCCTGGGACTTCACAGGAGCCACCCTTCTTCAGCTTACTATTAATCCTTGTTTTTATTTTCTTAATACAATTTGAGCTGGATTTTCTGTCACTTGTAATAAAGAGCCCTGTTGGATACAAACCCCATGTCATTGACGAGAGCCGCCCCTCAGGCAGGGCTGAGCCTGAACGTGCCCTTTCTCGCTGCTTCTCCCACTGCAGCCCTGCAGCCGGTTTGTGGCCTAGGACCCCATCAAGGAGTGGGCACTTTCTCACCTGCAGCTGGTGGGTGGGAGCCAGGGTTCCAGGTCAGGGCTCACCCCAGGGAGCAGGCTCTCTGCTGTGCCATCCTGTACCTTCTCTGAGCCTCAGATCCCTTACTTGTAGAACAGGAACCATGGTGTCTAACTCACAGGAGTTTAGAACATTTAACTTTTTTGTTTCAGTGCTGGGACTGCACCCAGGGCCTTGTGCGTCCGAGGCGCGCCAGCCCTGCCTTGAAATTTTTTTAATACAAAACACCTGGGTACACCTGATGCCCCCAAGATGGACACTTCATTCTCCACTTTCACTTTCCTTGGCCTCAATGCCTCCCACTCAGAAGTGCAGAGGGGGGAGTGAGAGGTCAAGGAGATGAGGTTTCAAAA